ACAGACATATTGCAAAAGGATTTATCATTTCAATCATTTTTCAGAGTAGAAATACATCTTGAGATAAAAATAGAAATATATTTATATACCAAAAAGCTGTTAAAACAATTTTTACTCAAACTCCTCTTGGCTTGGCACCAAACATGTAAAGTTTCTGCTGGAAAGGGGAATTTCTCTTTTAGTGCAAGAACAAGGCAAGGTAACTGCATGTTAAACGTCTTTCAAACTAAACTTCTCTCTAAATTTCTGCTATAGGAAGACCTTCCACCAACAACCGCAGAAATTCAGCAGTCACTGCTTTATTAGTGCCATTGAAATAGGCTTTAGTTTAAAAAAAAAAGAAAAAGGTTGTTATGGATCTTTTTGGTGTGCAAAAAGAGACTGATAGGGAAAATCAAGGTAGGGGTAGTTAAAAAGACAGTGTTATCTCTCTCAGCATTTGTTTCAGTTTGTCTCAACAGGAACATGTCCTTCTTGCTGTTGTTCTGTGTATGAAAATGTGGGCTTGCCAGCAAAGAAAGAAGGCAGAACAGAATACAATGAAATTTTTACATTTATGGGGTTACAAAAAAGCAAAAATAATCCTTACAGATCCACTGCTTCCTCACCATCCCATCAAGTCTTTGGCTGGTAGTGGAGCACCTCACCTCTTGTTCACAGGTTCTCCTTACATGGAGTCTCACCTCTACCTAATGATCACTGAGGTTTTTTCACAACAGTTGAAGTCATTTGAGAACTGCTGGGAATGAGTGCAACCCTGATTAAACTCTGCTGGTAGATTCTAAAACACTTAGAACCAGAGGCAATGGACACAAGCTGTGCCATGGGAATCTAAATTAGAAACCTGGAACAATTTCTTAACAGTGAGAGTGGTCAACTGTTGCATCAGGTTGCCCAGAGGCTGTGGACTCTCCTACCCCAAAGGCATCCATCAGGACAATCTGACCTGATTACATCTGTTTTGAGCAGGTGGTTGAACTAGATGATCTGTAGAGGTTCCTTCTAATCTTAATTATTCTGTGATTCTCTGAAATTTTGAAAAATAACTGTGGGGATTGTAGACTGTTGGAATTCAAAGGTAGGAATACCAGAATTTTCCTGGAAAGAAGAATGAAGAAGTATGACACCATTAACATGGAGGGGGAGGCATTCCATGTTTCTGGTTGCGGTCACAGTGGTCATGCAGATGTTGGCAGGTCATATAATACATCACCTGAGAGCTGAATGCTTATTGCTTTCTTTGCATCAGCTGAAGCTAGTGCCTATTTTTTTTGAAAGCCCCTTTTATAACAGCAGATGTGTTCATATCTTTGCAATGCATTGAGTGCAACAACTCAGAAGATGAAAATCTGTAGATAAAATATAGAGTTTTGGCATCAGAAATTCTTGTTGAGCCAGACAGAATAAAACGTTATTCTGCAGGGCAGTAGATATTTTTCTAAAATATTTTCCTGTTGTTTGGAGGGGGATAGGTAGAATATATCTGCTAATGGGATAAAGATTCAAATCTACTGAAATTTTTATATGGTTCTTTTTACATTTGTTTGTTTCCCACTGGGCTGTATGTGGCTTGGAGACCGTCCAAATTCCTTTCTTAAAAGCTTTTCTAGGCTATTGGCTTAGGATACAGGCAAACGAGATATTCCTTTCTGAAAGACCAAGTAGGTTTCAGAAAATATTATCTTCTGCCTCTTTCTAACACACTGTGTGCTTCCCACTTCACAATGGGGTAGAGGCCAAGGGGTAGATGTTTGAGATGGCAACATCACAGATGATCATGAAAGTTGCCATTTCCTTATGCTAGAATTTATCATTTGAAAATTCTGTGAACAAAACTATACTGAGCTTCTGTTATAGTCCCACAATATTAAACAGAAATCATAAAATAATATGTTGAGATGCCCAGAAATCTAGTTACATGTAAAAGCAGATGATTAATGTCCTCATTTTGCTTTATTTTCTTCCTTCACTTGACAGACTTTCAAAAATTCCTATCAAAATGCTGATATTACCCTAGTAATGAAATGCCATAAGTGTAACATACCAGTTTAGAGGAGTCTCAGAAGATTTGTATACAGAAAAAATAGGTATATTTGAGAATGCAGGGAAAAGATATTTCAAAGTGAGAACATTTTAAAACGTTCATTCTAAAACAATCTCCTTAAAAATATACAAAAAATACTGTCAGATAACAAATTCCAATACACAAATCTGGCTAATTCAAGCTGCTAGAGCAACTAACAAGGACAGGAAGATCTGTCCTTTTTCTACTACTGACTAGACCAACTCATAAAACCTGTTCCCATTTTTCTTCCTCTTCCCTACATCAAGAACATACAAATATTTTACACACAAATACACAAAAAGTCCCTCAAAGGGAGTAATTTAGCCCTCATTAAGAATCCTGCCTATCTAAATATCTAACCAATATATCAGGCCCAATTAAAAAGAATTTACCCATTCTGTGCAGCAAAAATAGTAGTGACGCATTCATTTGATACATAGGTTTCTAGTCCAGCATACAAACTCAAGAATATCTGCAAATATACGTGTGGCTTTGGCAACTACATTGAACAATGTTTAACTTAATACTACCTTTTCTGTAAAATAATAATGCGAAATATAGTCCTTCACCGTTGTTCCTAAATTAAAGTGAAACATTGTGTGTCATTTAGTGAAATGAGTGGAATTAGGGCACAAACTGCCAATTTGCGGTAATTATTTCTCTGACATTGCATTTGATTTATCTAATTTGTGCTGATTTCTTCGCTTTTGTATTTTACGATTTTTCTTATGACTGAACAGCATTTCAGAGCTTCTCAAGCTGGGAAAACTAGGCACTTCTACCCAGCAGTCATAAAGCAAATTAAATTCACCAAGGAGTCCATCTATTATGTGTTTTTAAATAACATCTTGGGAATCTTTTACAGCAAACTGCATCTATGTCCAGGAATTTCTTTACCTGAACTGAATCTAAATCCCAGTGTTGAGTAACAGTTCAGCAGTTTTGCCATAGAAAAAGCAAACCTGGTGCCCTTCTGGCACACAGAAACATGCCATGTTGGCGTCTCACTGCATAATCCTTTTGTCTGAAAACAAGACCCCAAGTACATTTCAGAAAGATCGTATTTTTCATTTAGTTTATGGAACACTTATAAACTAGGACTCCTAACTGTGATTCCCAAACACAAAACAAAGTCAAAGGTTGCAGCATATGTTTTTGCTTCAGCTTCTCCAAATTACTTGCAAATGTATTCAAACGCAATATGAGGAGATACTTTATTTTATTGAAAATAACAGACTACAGGGTGCTGCAAAAAAGGCTGAGGTACCTCAAGCATAAACATGGAAAGAATACATTGGTTTAGAAACCCATAAATCCTTATTTGAATCTGCCAACCTGAAAGCCAAGTAAAGCCCGAAAAAACTATTTTTCCTAAATGCTATGTCTGATTAAGCCATACTATTAAGTGACAGCTGAACTTTAACATTAATATGATATTATTTAAATAACTGCATGATTTTTTTTTACACTAAAATGATGAATGATTTTTGGACAGCTCAATTGACATAAAGCAAGAAACCCCTTTAATGAGATTTGACAAAATGGAGACATATGCAGAATATTCGTTACAGCTCATGTCGCAGGGCCCTTCCTGGGGAGACTTGGGCTTGGTTGTGTCTTTTCTTTCTTTCTTTTTTTATATTTTATTTTGATTGTCTACAAGCACTGAACCATCCCTTTCAATTGCCACTTCCTTTCTCCATAGATTTTGAATTTAGCTTGTGTCATTTACATATTACTCTTAATCAGAGAATTTTATATGTTACGGTTCAGAGTTGGAATTGTAAGAAAGCTATGGAATGAAGGCACGAAGGTCAGGCATCTTAACCTTTGTCAACTCTGTATGCAAGGAACTAACAAAGCTTTTTTTTTTTTTTTTTCTGAGGAGAGTTATGAAAAGATAAGGCCTCTGCTAAAGAACAACTTATTAAATTCTGGTTTTGATATTTTCCAAGTCAAGTGGTAAAAGAAAAACTATGCTAAAATGTCTTTTTTTTGTTTTTGTTTTGTTTTTGTTAAGGAAAATGTATTAAGCAAATACATGCAATGTAAAAAGCCTGGGAAAGGTAATTTCATACTGAACTCTTCCGAGGATTCTACAAAGTCCCTTAAAAATGTGTTTCATAGCATCCAATACCTCTTAATACACACTTATCAGAGTGAGGCTTTTCTTCTTTAAGAAGCTGAATAACAGCACAGAAACTTAGACATCACAGAGACACTTGGGTGCTGCTTTATTAAGTAAAAAGTACACATATCCAGAGATATCACTAATTCAAAAAGGCTGTTTGGAAAGGCATTGATGTAAATTCAAGGTGGTTGGTAATTGCTGGGTAACTTCCCTCAGTGCAATCCCAGATAGATTTTTAGGAAGTTCCTAATGTTTCCTTCCCAGGTAATTTAACTGTAATTTTCATAACATTCAAACATGGAAGAAATATGTTAAAAGCACAAGGTTTGACAGTGTGTCTGCCCAGTCCTTTCAAACAGAATGGATCATCTTATCTTTTTCCTCTGCGTGCAAATTTACACTGCCCTAACGCTTTTACAAACTATCTCACATGAAAACTAACATGTAAAAAAACTGAAAACACTGAGATCCCGAAAAAACTCAGGAGTCATTATCATTATCATAAAGCCTAATTTTAGAACAGTATGCCAACAAAAACAAATAAAAAAGAAGAAAAAGTGATAAATGATGGAAAAAGACGGAATCCCTCAGTCTGCAGAAAATTCTTTCTTTAGCTGTGATAAAACCTTTTATCTAACCATGTCTGCTTTTTTATCAGCATTCATTTGAACAAATTCTATACAGCAGCTGGCGTGAAAAAAGTCAAGCAAGTCAGCAAAATGCTGAGGTTGGATTTAAGCTAAAAATAAAGGTGTAGAGGGAGAGAGGGAAAAAAGAAGAGATGTGTCCCTACCTTGGCCTTACCTTCGCAACATTCCTGTCAGGATCCTAGAGCTCTTCCCCAGGTTTGCATCTGTTTCTCTGAGCTGAGGAGAAAAGAGTCCTGTTAAAATCAAAAGGCCCATGTACTCCCTTCAGTACAAAGAACAGACACTGCTGCTGTCATTTGATTCAATCTACCTCTGTTTTAGCTCACAACAAATTTACATGCAAGATATCCACTAAACTCTGATATTTAAAAAGGTTTCATCTGCTTTTCATTTAAATAAAGATGAAACCTATGGAAAGCACAACACTGAGGCAACAAAGATGAACCAGATTACAGAGCAAAGCTTTACAAATAAAGTGTTGAAGGCAGAAGCTATATAGATTGCTGTCCATAATTCCCACGGATGTGTGCATCCGTATGGGTTCTGAATATTAGTGAGCGCATCAAGGGATGAAGGTAGAGCCATGTGCTCTGTGCCTGATGCTTTACCAAAAGAGAAACAAACACATCTTTCTTTCTTTGCTTTTCAAAGACACTAGGTTTAAAGAAAAAGCAGTACAACAGAACAATGTCATTTTACTGCTCTGTGTAAAAGAAATAAGCCCATACTGCCTCTTACCAATGCCACCTGTGTCGACTTTCAACTGGTCATCACTGAAATGCAGCCCAAATACTTTATGAATGTTGACTATGCAAGCTATAAGAATATGTAAATAGTATGTACTTAACCATGTAAAGATGAACTGAATTAACGGATTGGTTCTAGAGCTCTCTAAAAAAATCTTGCAAAATAGGTAACTGCCCAACTGAATAAAACAAGGTAATCGAAGAAACTAAGAGAAGCTATATACAAAACTAAATTCATATGAAGAAAGAATAGTCATTTCTGTTTCTCTAATAAAAAGGAATAAAAACTCCCTTTTCTTTTTATGTTTATTAGTCTCCTACAAAAGGAGGTCTAGAAATGATGAATTACAGTATATAGGAATAACAGAGTTACTCTCCTATTGCCTCTTTAGCTACTGCTAACTAAAGAAGAGACATCTTTTGATATTCAAAAGCTCTTGGAACCAGCAGAACATCAAAACCTGTAAATGATTGCCAGTAATAAAATAGTAAGCACCACTGTTTCTAACATGCCCAGAAACACAGCTACATGTACATAAATATAAATATGCTTCTCCTTATGATACCTGAATATTTACATATTTATCTCTCCATTATCAACTCCGATTGAAAGGATTATCTTAGTTTCTTAATGAGTAAGTTTTTACTTTACTTATTAAAGAAACTTTGTTGTAGAAGACAAAACACATCCTGGGTTATAAATCCATGAAAAGAGTAACACTGCCAAGAAAAGTGGCAATCTTCCAATAACAAATCACCTTCATCATAACAAATCACTATTTTATCTTCAATATTAGTATAGCAGTATTATTAAAAGGATTTTCTACTTTGGAGACTGATAGTATAAATATTTGCTACCAAATTTAATGCTTACTACTGAAATCAGTAGTTGCAATCAATGGCACGCAACCTTTAGTACAATTTTTTTTTGTTTTTGTTCATGTAAAAACTATGTATTAGTATAACAGAGTTTAATGTAAACACGATTAAGGCAATACCAAGCAGAAGCTGAGCCTGAAAGACATTAGAAGAACTTGCTGTTAGCAAAACTCTATTCAATACAAAGGCCTGCAGGGACTCTCAGACCTCTAGAGTTAGCAGCCTTGATGGGACAGTGATGAGCACCACGTCCTGGAGAGCCATTCCTCCGATTTTTCCTGATTCATCCAGACAATTCAAGTTCCAGAAGAGTAATTTAGCCCAATTTGACACAAGCAAAAGAATAAAAAATGTCACAATAATTTTTAAAAAGTCTGATTAATAAGTCAAGTTCTTATTCATGCTAGAAGGGAATCTGAAGTACAAATGTATTCTTTACATTGCTCTTTTATTATTCATAAAGAAGCATTTAACACTTGGGGCTCTTCTCCCTTTTTACAGAAAAGTAGCTCTCTCCCTTTTACCATTGTATGTTTGATCCTAACTTTCCTCTTTTTGCTGCAGGATTCTACCTGACAGCTAGAATCAGTACCGATAGTTAGGAAGGGGAATTTGAATCTTAGAGGTTTTACAAAGTCCTCTAAGCACGAAGACCTGATATTTCTACGGTTAAAAAAAAAGGGCAAAAGAGAAGGCAAAAATAACAAATACATACACACCTCTACAACTCAGGAGAGTGCTAAAAAATCCCCAATCTTTTCTTCCTGCACTGACAGAAAACCAATTCAAATCACAAGTTTGGTTTTATTTAAGAAATAAATATAATGGTGGCTCCTCTATAGTTTCTTTATCAGTATCACTGCTCTGCAATAATAAGCCAAAGAGTTGGTGGCATGTTAACCTGTTAAATGGTAGATTCCTTGGGGCACTTTCTTGTTTCACAGAAATGCTGCAGTAAAAACCTTTCGGAAGATGCTTTGACATTAGCAAAGACAAATCTACATAGTTTGTAGAAAAGCTCCTTTAAAAAAATCATATTGAGAAAAAAAAATGGAAAAGAACCTGATGATGATATCTTGTTTACTTTATACTTTAAGTTAAGGCTTTATCCCAAAATGTTGCCTCTTTTAGAATTGTGTATAATCCATTTAACTTATGTGACTCTTGTAGCAGAGCTTCTACCCTCTCTATTGACTTCTATATGTAGTTAGCAAATTCCTGTTCATGGATGTTAGTACATATGTAAAACGCATAATACATCTTCATTTATTCCAAACACCACAGGTTATCTCTAGTATTTTTTTTCATTCACACTCCTGTCAGGAGAACTTTAACAGAACTACACAGACACTTAACAATTAAATATTCCTCATAGGAAAAGAGTTCAAATTTTCACAAAGTAAACTTCTAAAAGTTTGTTCCCCTGGTTGATAACACGATGCTTCCATGTATTAAGTGTAAAGGTACTATGCACTGATGAAACACTCTCATTCCTGGGATTTTAAAAAAAAGGTTAATCAAAATCATCTCTGACTGCACATGTGAGCATGGACATTCTGGACAGGCCCAGCCATGTGACTCCAATGGAGATCTTTCCCAAATCCTTCAAACAAAAAATCTTAAGTGGCACAAAGTAAAAGCCTGCAATTTGAGACTTTCCATGTATGACGAGGTCTTTGGACGAATTGCAATACACATACATATATTTTTTAATCTTGCTTCATGTAGCTTACAGGTCTTGCCATTGAAAAAAAGACTGTTCAGGCAGAAGGAACTGCAACGGAAAGGTTATACTGACAACTGGAGAGTCATCAGAATGGTACTTCTCTTTCTCCAACTTTGCTGAGGATTTTGGCAGAAAGGGATACGTGTTATTCACCTCCTTTGCCTAGGGTTTACTTGTCCAGATAGAAACAGAAAAGCATTTCAGACTTAGTAGTCACTGGGGATGTGATGAGGGGAGGAGAAATGAGACAGATGCCTGTAAAGTTGGCTGAATAATACTGGCTCACATCCCTCAGCTATATTTAATGATTTAGCTATATTTAATGATTTAAAGTAGCTCATGCCCAGGATGTGAGAAAGCAACTGGTATAGATCATATCTTCTGACAGAAAATGCCTCATTAAAGCTGTCATATGAAGCTTTACTAGTCAAAGATATTCAGACAAAAAAAACTCCCTGAGACAGATACAGGAGTCTTAAGTGGCAGTGGTCAGCTATAAGCCTGTAAGATGATTTAGCTTTGCAAAATTGGACACTAAGGAAAGTATCTGTTCAGCACTCTGGATAAAATATCACAAACAGAGTCAATTCTGGTTCTGGAGGAGTTAGGAGCTTTGGTGAGATCTTGCTGAAATACTGTGAGCAGAAATCTGAACAGAAGAGGCAAATCTCTTAGTCCAAAGTTTAGACGTGTTCTATGGGTGGATGGGACGGGCTACCGGGCATCCTCTTCAGTTCTGCAGAGTAAAGAAGATCTCCATGGAGGCGGCATAAGACAAAAATTACACAGATATCTTATCTTGTCTGCGTTCACAGAGCTGCACTTTAAGAAGCTGCCACTTGTTATTTCACACAGAAATAAATATTGACTTCACTCATAAAACAGGAAAGCTCCTTCTCACTCCATTGGAGAGAATGCAAACAAAGAACTTCTCCTCTGGTTTGACGGAAGGATTTGGAGGCTCAAACTTCCAAAAGGTTTCAGCACAGAGACATGTTTTGTGGCCATTGTCTTTAAACCTCTGCTCTCTTCGGTCAACTGTGAACGATTGTGTGGTAGGAGGCTCCCCAAGCAGGTCTTACTCTCAAGACTGAGACTCCTGTCTGTAAAACAAATCTCATTATGCTCTATCTAGGTCCCTTTTCTCCTCAATATTTTTAACCACAGCTCCTTTCCTACTCTTATTCCCTTCTGTCATCAAAACAAGATTCAGGAGAGACAGAAACAACAGCAAGAAACTTTGCACATGTGGGACACTAGACAGCCAGTAGCCTTAGATATTTCTGTGGTCAAAAAGGTCCTTGACTTTCTTGCTTTCCGCAGAGAAAGCTGTTATCCAGCATGCAAAGCAGGGCAGTGACGAGGACTAGAAAGTTAAGTATTTTTTTCCTAATAATGAATCTCTTATCTTTCTTAAAAAATGAAAATAAAGATTCTTCACAAGTAGATCTTAAAGCCATTTTCAAGGGGAAGGGATAACCACTCTATTTAAGAAGTGATGAAACTGAGAAAAAGGTGGCAACTTAACAGTCCAGTGTTAAGCCAGCCTATATTTCCATGAGCAGGATTAATACTGCTTCCGACATTGCAGACTTGTCCTATGGACAAGAATCATTGTTCTGCACTGACTGGAAGAGATGGTGTCACACATGTCCCCCTCCCATGTTCTGAAATGCCATTAGCTGACCCTCTGTCAGAGCGAACCCAGGTTTTCCTGACTCAGGTAACACATGCATATCTAAAGCCACAAATTACAAATTGGTTTAACATGCATATTTTTATAATATCAGCCCCAAACTTCCTTCTGTTAAGCTGGTGGGAGTTTAAAACTGCCTTTTAAAATAGCAAGACTGAAGCTATCACTCAATACTAATTTTCTTTCTTACTGCATTTTTCTCATACCAAATCACTGCACAAATATCCTAAGGAGGCAATTATTAGCAGTTAATTTTCTTGGCAGCTACAAAGAGTGGGCTTGATCAATTATTAAAAGTTAAATTACAACACTGAACTGCTTTGTTTTGTGGAAAGCCACAGAAGTCCGTGCAACAGACACTGCAGAAAATCCTTCAAAGGGCAGAAGTAGATTTGACTGCGACATCGGGGACAGAGAGCTTGTTTCTACCAGTGGGTTTCATGTTCTTGCCTTCAGTGTGACTACCTGTGAGAGAAGCTCTGTAGGACTGGGCCAATATGAAACACTCTTTAACTACATCACTGCAGACGGTGATAGTGATAACAGCTGATTTATTTAAAAATCTAATCAATATGCCGGCTAATTTTTGCATGCACGGTGAATTTGCCCAAAGCAAATAAAATTCCAGACCAGCAATTATTTACTATCAAACTTACCCTTTCCCGAGCACGCTGGATCTTCTCTCTGTCATGGCTGAGGTTTTCCAGCATCTCCTGTCCAATCTGTTCTGCATTAAAAAATCAAAATTTAAATAATGAAAAATATAGTTTGTGACTCTAAGGCCTCAAAATGCCAGTTTAGATTGTAACAAAGCTAAAAAAGAACTGCACATAATACATATGATAGCCTAATCACTCCTCCTAACTGCAAGGAAGAAGACATCATTATAGTAAATTTTAAGTCTGCCAAGCAACATAAAACTGAAGAAGTGTCATTAAAACCAGAAGCTGTCCCCTTGCAACCCACTGAGATTTCCTGGACCCTGGGAACCGATGCTAAATTTTGCTCTGAGAAACAAAGGCCAAAAGTCTTTCAAACTTGCTCTACATGCTGGATGTTCACACTTGCCACACATTTTTTAAGCCTACTCCTTGCTTTAGTAAGAAAGCTGGGCAGCCTTTACTAAAACACTAGTATCTATAACCTAGTATATTTAACTAATACTTACGCTTCTAAGGATACGGAAAAGCCATATCAGAGGAAACATCTGTCTCTCCTCCTCAGCTTTAACCACAGATGTTTTTAAATGCCCAGCCATCTCAGGCTAAGGCAGCTACTGGTGCCTGTCTTGCCCCTACCAGAGCCTATTTCTGGCAGGCTGTAAGGGATCTCGTGACATTTTTAATAGCATGCATATGCATTTGTCTATTGGCATCACCATTTGTATACTGGCTGTTTGCTTCTATAGCTTACACTGAACCAAAGGTTGCAAAATTCTAGCAGTGAGAGGAATCCAGGCCTCGAGATACGGTACAAAGACAACGCAAGACGCCAAAACTTTCCTCTTTAAACAGCTTTAGTCAGATGCTTCTCTTAGACTGAAATAACAGCAGCAAACGTAGAGATTTTCATCTTCAAAGCTCTATAGAAACGTTAAGTGATCCTCCCTATATTTCTCCCTGAGGGAGAAAAATAAGTTATAACATTCCCATTTTGCAGATGGGGAAAGAGAGGCAAGAAGCTGCAGCTTGCCTCAGGACACAGAGCCAGGGTGAGACAAGCAGGATTCCTGTGCACAGTCAGCCTGCATGGCCAGATATATTTCCAAAACACAACATACTATTAAAAAAAGTGCTTTCCCCCCCTGCAAACAACAGAAATCACGCTTTGCTTTCATTCTGGTGAGTGCATTGCATCTTGAAATGTGATTATTTAAAGAGCTGTAAGCAAACAATGCAGTAAAAAATACTGCCAATATGCTACTAGTGCAAACACGAATATTTCAGGCTTTATTTAAGTGCTCCCTTTTTAGGATATAATCCAAATTAGAATCACATCAAACTTTTAAAACCTGAGACAAGCAAATATTTTGCTAACTGCATTTAACACAAGGTATACATTCTGCCAGCATGTATAATGTCTAAGGAAATGCAGAATGTCTAAGGAAATGCATTACATATAAATTTCTCTATCTGTTGCCAAGTACAGTACAAGTAAGATAAATATTTCCTCAGATATCTGACCACAAATTGACATCCTCATTATGCTATCTTGTCCCTCTTGGCTTGCTGCTCTTTACTTTTAGCTGTATATACAATGCCTCCCAAAGGTGAAATGTGGTAAGATATGTGGTTTCTGAGCTAAAATATCTCTAAGGTGCCGTGCAAATGGTAGACTAAAAGTGAATCGAGACAGAGCCTTGTGTATGCTTGCATGTCAAAGGACTTACTGGCTGCAACTACACTGAGCTTGTTTTTCATCAAAGCACTTAAAATACGGGAATACACAAAGAGATATATGCATTCAGTGTAATTTCAGCAGAAAAAAAACAAGCCCCAACGCCTTAAAATAGAGGGAAAAACAGGGAAAAACCCAGCAAATTACTAACCAAGTAGCAGGAGGTGGAATAATGACAAATATTTATTTCTAAAAATTACACGCACTTGTGTACAGATGTAAAGGAGTCTGAGGAGTTGATTTGCTTTCAAAGGAAGAAATGTAAAATAAATTGCTGAAATAGCTAGCATTTCACAAACAAAGCTCAAAATATCTTTATAGGAAACAGTTCTATTTTTATTCCACCAATTTTAAGCAAGTTACTGTAGGGCTTTTTTTTTTTTTTTTCATCTTTTTCCTGTCACTGGCAAGTGCACACTCCTAGCTTTTTATAATGATTGAGTTTATTTTCCAACCATCAACGTGACAGCAGCATCAGCTGTAAGTGAGGGTAAAACACCATCACTTTGACGAACAGTGTATTTTCCTCTCATTGTCGATGACTGAAGACATCAATAAATAAGGAAGGAGAACATGTCAGCCAGAATATCACAGAATAAATTGTTGATATGACACTTAGGGATTAAACCTTCAGCCATGAAGTTCAAACTAGCAGAGGGGTCTGAGAACCGAGATAGTTGCATTTCTTCCCAGCAGCCTCTACAGATAAATAATTGGACGGATCATCAATTTTACAGGAGCAGCTTTACTCTACATGCACTTTACTTGATGATCTTTGGCCTTTTTGGGGCTCAAATAACAACATAAGTTGAACAAAGAGACATAACGGAGGTAACATAATCTCACAATAACTTTGCAAACATAAATTGACACCTTTATCAACAGATCCTTTCTACATCCTTGTTCTACTCCTGGAAATTTCACTGATGATGGAAAAACTTGCTTGTCAGTGGGAAGGTCAAGATGGCTAAACCAAAGTATTAAAAAACAAACAAAAAGTTGAGGCGTATAGATGATATTAAAACATGCATCTTTGCTTGCTTTGCAACTTGAAAGTGCCCAGGACAGGACAAAAAGCAGCATCAACCCACGACACAGCTAAGCACAAACCTGACTCCATTGCTCTCTGATGCTATCACATCTCAAAGCTCCCCAGGACTCCAATATTCAAACCCTCATTTCTGTGCTAGATTCATGCTTTTAGTCCAACAGTACTGTATAGAATTTCTATCTAGTATAGAACCGTAGAGACTAGTTATAATTTAAAACATTGACGATGCTACTACAGTTATGTGAAAGATATATTGCAGGGAAGCTGCATGAATTAAGGCCTGTGCACAAACTGAGGGGTGCTGCATGTTGCCAGCAACTGTGTTATGGAATTTTAACAATACCGATTATTTGGGGTTTGTCCATTCCTTCTTGGATATTCTTGGATACCATTTATTATATCAATGTCTGAAATCCTATGAATGACTGTGATGCCATCTTTTCTAACAGAAACTCCCAAAGTGACATAAAACAATGTTCTAAAATTACAGAATAAGAAGCAGCTTTTACATTACTATGTACTGAGACAGGGCAAGAAATTTCAGGACACTGATTATCACAGTCTTAAACTGTGCTGTGACGAACAGAAAGAAAAGGAAATTCTAAGCAAATAACTTCATTAACAAGCACTGAAAGGAAACTGGAAAGCCAAATTTTACAACCTTGAGTATTTTCTGCCTCAAAGCTACTTGAACAGAGGATGGGAAAGCAGCCTCTTCACTGCTGCAAAAATGTGGTAACAATGCTGTGTTTTGGGTCCTACACAATCACCTCTGAGAGACTTGGCAAGAAAAATATAAAATTTCTCATTCCAAAACACTGAATAATTGGAAGAACTAAGATGCTCCCCCCCACCTCCTTTTTAGGCAAAAATTAGCACACAGTCTTCCTCCTCTAAACTGAGATACACCCAAAAGACAATGATTACTTCTAGTGTTGCTCTATGCTCTTGAATATATCCTTATTTCCCCATAATAATCTATCATAATATATAATATTTATTTATATATATACATCATTATGTATCAATCCATGTTCCACAAAGCTTGATTTCTATTACTTACATGCCTATATTGAGGATGCAAGATAAGTTGTGCTTAAATTATTTATTTATCTATTTATTTATTTATTTATTTATTGCTTCCGGTCATGTAAGTATTAACATTCTTTAGTAGCTAAAGTGATTTTTAGACAGATTTTTTCAAATAATAATACTTTCTAATAATATCAAGTCAATAACACATTTTTCTTTTTTTTTTTTTTTTTGTTAAAGATGCTTATATATATTCAAGCCGTCTCCAGGCTTTTGGATAAATAAATGTGCATTTTAACTTCTTCTCTTACAGTGTACTTAAAAAAAATATATACATTCTATATGCATCTGTTTCATAAGAAGCAACAGCTACTTTGAAATGGCAAAAAGAAGACAAAAAACATCCTAAGGATAACCAAGTCACGGAGAAGATGCCAGGAAGTAGGACTTTCCCGATCTTGTCCTGTGTACGATGCGTGCATCCAAATTATGCAATCAGAGGTGGGAAGAAGTCAGGTCAGTCTAATGAGCACTGCGAAAAGGAGATCAAGGAAAAGAATCCAGATGTGGTCGTTGCACAGAATGAGGAAAGAAACTCGGCAACCCACTATTGTTGTGAGAGGAGCCAGAATGTTCCCGTTCCGAGATGTTCATCCTTGCCTAGTAAGGAACAGCATTTTGGGAATGCAGTTTTGTATTTTTTTCAATCACAGACACTGTGTGTTGAGAAGACGTAGCAAAAGCTCACGGGGATTTTTGGAAGGGAACTACGCTGACACAGCCCCAAAGTCTCTAACCGTATACAAGGTGGAGTGAGAAAGAGAAGGCTGCATTTTCAAAATTCATCTGTCTCAGTTTGGATGGGTTAAAAGTTTAGATTTTAGGGGACTAGGAGAGATAAATCATGAATCGGAGTTTCTGGAAAATATGTTATAAAGCGTTAAACATCAGCTGCTCAGAGGCGACAGCGAGCAGATTTACAAGGCTAGAGAATGTTGTAGGAGTCAGAAGAATTCAGGGTTGAGTCAAATGCTCCTCTGACAGCAGGAAGTTCATAAAGAAGGTGATGACACATCCTTAAGTGCAGGGATACAGGTAAAAGTCCTACACATTTGCAAGTTCACAGTTGATATATTCTTAGACGAAGAACCAATATAATCAGAGACGGAGGGATTTAGATCATTAAAGTTATTAAATGGCAAGTACAGTTAATTTTGAAAAATGAAGGATAGTATAAGGGATACACA